GAATTGGAAAGCAGATGGTACATACAACAATAATACAAACCATATCGAATATATTAGCAAAGATGAGAGTTCCACAGAGGATACGCATGGATTTATCTAAATGCGTCATCACTGACAAGAATGACCAACAACACCTAGATATCTCCGAAGTGTGGCAGATTAAAAACAATTTAAAGGGACATATATTATCACCACTGGATAGAAATCCCAGTGTGGTTTGAGAAAACCAGATCCTTCTTCTTAGATTATGCACACTACGAGATCATCCAACAGACAGAAAGTGAGATCCTCCAACAAGCAAAGCACACATGTCATGCATGTGGACTGGGTAAAGTGACAAAGTGAGATGAGAATGGATCATATGGGAATGCGTACACAATACCAAAAAAAAAAGATGTATCCAGAAGACGCCCAATTCTACCAACATATAACGAACCATCACGACAAGCATCAAAAATCTTGTCAAGGCTTATAAATTTCCTAAGTAAAACATGGCAGTTAGGGTTTATTCTACATGGTACAAATCAACTTGTTCCGAAACTAAAAGAATGCAACGAAACGACGACACTGACATACGGACTAAGTGCCACTTTACTATCTGTCATGTATGACGTTAAAGACATGTTTTCTAATTTGGACCATACACATGTCCTTAAACCACCACTCCACCCGCCACCGAAAAAGTGGCATTCCGGTGAGTTTGGAGCAGGTCTTTAAGGGGGGGGCCGACCGGGAGGCACAGGCGGGTCCAATCCCGCAATTTTCAGTCACCAACTTTGGCGATTTTTCGCGCTTAGAAAAATAAGGGAAAAAATCTGAAAATTTGAGGTCTTGTAGATTAGGTCGTGATCTTTATAGGAAAAATATCTGAAACATTAAAACAAAATCTTTTAGACCGTGAAATAAATGTTATGCAAATTCGTCACATTTTTCATTTTTTGTCACTCCAACGGGTAGGGCAAAGGAAAAAGTATCCTAACTTCTGCGATTTTTCGCACTCAGAAGAATGCCTTGAAAAATCTGAAAATTGAAGAGTCTATAGATTTGGTTGTGATATTTCCATCAAAATATTTTTTTTAAGTTTTAAAAAGTTGTAGTCGGTGAAGTTAATGTCGCTTCGATTTATCTCGTTCTTGATTTTTGCCACTCTACTACTTGTGGGCCAACGGGAAACGTAACCCAATTTCAGCGATTTTTCACAGTCCGAAGAATTAACAAAAAAATCTGAAAATTGGAGGGTCTGTAGATTTGGTTGTGATATTTCCGAGAAAAATATTTTAAAAATAATAAAAAATCGTTTTAACCACAAAATAAGTGGCGGCAGCAATTTGTCAAATTTTTCATTTTGGGGCCTCTATTGGGTCTCCATACTATGCTACAGGTAGCCCTCATGAACATGTGCTACCAGTCCCCCAACTTTCACAACCTCGGGTAAAGTGGTCGTTTAACGTCATGCAATGGATGTTGAGTATAGCGAGAGAGAAAAGGAAGACTCAACTATGTTATAAATTAAGGGGAAAATACATAAATTTTGGTAAAGCAAATGGTACATATGGATGGAAAACAGTGAAGATTGAGATATTAAGCGATATATTATGTTATGACATTCACCATGCATATTTCAAATCACAAGGTACATGAATGCGACAAATTAAAGGTGTTCCCATTGGAAAGGGATCTAGCCCACCGATAGCAAACATGGTCTGAGCATGTAACGAATACAAATGGTGTTTTAGAATTGGGATGGATGAAAAACTCGTGCATGGGATGTGATCTGTTAATGATGTAATGCTCATAATTATTGCAAATCAAAACAACAACACAAGAGAAATTGCATGCATGAATTCATTCATAAAATGTTACCATTCATCGTTAAAGTTAGAATCCACACCCAATAGAATGGAAATACTTAGAAAGAAGAATTCCAAAAATGGATTACTAACCCCTCCTAAAATGTACACATAAACTCAAGAATGAAGCTACACTACAGGAAGGGTTGTTAAGCTTTTTCTCTATTCGGCCTATCCGTCATTTCAGAAGTGTTTGTTCCGTGAACACCAAGATGTTAACGATCATTGGCACATTTCACAAAATGGTAGCAAACACGTATGACATACACGATTTACCCGCTGTAATGAAATTATATTGTACGAAACTCAAACTATTGGAATACCCGTGGAAGACAACACGTTCGACGATTTTGGCCTTTATCAGAAATTGCAAAGACAACACGGTGCGTAAGGTCGTCCTTGGATTTCTGAAAACGGAAGACACAAAAAATTGACAAAATGAAAGGTATTTAGCATGCGGGCAAAAATGGATTGAAATTCCTATTGAAAGATAAAACGACATGACGACCGAGAGTCGTGTTCGACTATTTTGCCTGTCTCATAAATTGTAAAGACAACACGGTGTGTAAGGTCTTCCTCGAATTTTGGAAACGGAAGACAAAAACATTGAGAAATGAAAGGTACACAGCAAGATAAATCGGAATATGAAACCACTTTGAATTTTTGATAAAAGGTAAATCAACAAGACAACCTTCTGCCGAACAAAAATTCCTCAATCGCACATATAAAACCATACGCGAAAAACACGGGATATAACCGCACAGTAATCACACCAAAGAAAGAAATTAAAGTAATATGCATGTCACGAAACCGTACCGACCAACTACAAAAGCACAATCGTTTTTCATCTCATAATATACCATCAAAGGATTTAAAACGACTCATCACGCAGAAATTCTCGAACACAAAAGTAGATGCATACCAAGTATGATACAATGACAAAATTCCAAAATTCTAATTTCACGGATGCAACACGGACTCCAAGGACAGATGGACAAGTACAAGGGAATGAAGGAAACCGAAGACATTACCTAGATGTTGCATCGGATATAAGGGCACAGACTTTTGTCGGCACTGACAATTTTCAACATATCGCAACCAAGAGAACATCGGGATGGTAGAAGTCATCAACGACGACGAGCATACGATGATATGAGGAGACTGCAGGAACTAGGGTTCAGCCGGATAGAGAAGTATTTGGGCCAAAGGTATATATACTATTGATAATGGTTGGGAAGATTACTTGAGCAGAGAGGTTGAAGGGTAATCGCAGCTATACTTGTTGCATGCCATGGACAGGGACGTGTATTCTGTGAAATTAAAGCCAGCCACGTGTTGTCCAATATTGCAAGTGTGTATCTCAGAGTCAGTTTGTCCTGTCTGCCTGTCTCGCCCTCTCTCTCTCTCTCTCTCTCTCTCTCTCTC